CAGCTGTAAATCTTTACAGAAGCAGATTGCCTCATCTTTCTGCCATGGAATGAGTGGTGGATCTGAACCACCAACCTTTTGCTTAACAGCCAAATGCTTTAATTACTGTGCCACCAGAGCTCCTCATGTTGGGAGAGGCAGCCTGTTTTCATACTACGTATTACCAAAATCCTCCTGGTGTTCATAACCAGGAATAGAGTCAAAACAGGTTAATCCCAGTATTTGTTGCAGTGGAAATACTAAATAAATACCATTTAGTTGCAAAAAAACAAAGAGATTGACCAAAACCTTCAATTAGACAGATTAACAGTATTTAACTGAATCATTGCCTAGGACGTGGAAATGCTGTTGGATTTATAAGAAGTACATATGGCCATTCAGCAGTACTTCAACCAAGGACTCTGCTAGTAACACTTTTAAATTAATTCAAAAATCAGTTTTAGGTACAACAGAAAGGAAGGCAAGAAAGCAACATCTGAGGAACAAAGACTATCTTTAGCCCCACCAATCTGGCCAAAGACTAAGTTTCATACCTATTTTTACAGACGGGGAAAGTGGAGCCAAGAAAGCTGACTTCCTCAGCCAGTTTCCAAATGGTGGAAAATGGCTAAGCCTGGGTCATCCTAACTCCAAAACCTTAGTTCTGTCTGCTACAATAACTCACAGCACAGAAGCCACTAAGATGAGTAATGACCAAAGTCATGCACAGCTTAATGTCTGTCCCTCCAACCACATAGGATACATCACAACTAGGCTACTCCTCAGAAGGAAGATGGGGCAATCTACTTCCATAGTGATACTGCCTTGGAAATCCAAGGAGGGGTCGCTATGAGTCAGGTCTGACTTGATGGCACATAACAACAACAACAGGCTAAAGAAGCACTATAAGAAAGGCACAGACAAATGGCAGGGGGTCAGAAGAGGGCAAAAGCACGTGGAATAGAGGGTTGTGGGTCATGGCTGGCTTCCAAGAGGAGGTGACATTTAAGAGTCCTTGAAGGATGAATTGTGTTCAAACAGGCTGAGCAAAGAGAGGCAGGAACAAGAAGAAATGCCTAAACCCTGCAGGGCAGAGGAATGGAAGGTAAACTGCAGTCATGCATCACTTAACGTCCACAATGTGTTTTATGAAATAGGGCATTATGTGATTTGGATGTTGCGCATACATGTATTGTAGTCTGGTCCTGCCTTCTCTTAAAGCATCTCCAACAAGCTTGGTGCCTTAGCAGTGACTGTTAAGGTGCTGAGGATTCTTTTGTGTTTGGTTCTCAATTCACATCATTAGCAATTTCTCCATATCTAATATAAGTCCCTCTCATATTTTTGTTAGTCTCATTATCCTCAAAGCTTTCAGTGGAGCTGATCCTTTAACAACTTGGATAATTTTTTCTGAGGATCATCATGATTATTGAGTGCGACATGCCTAAACTGCCAGCAACAGCATTCACTGATTTTCTACCTTTGTGTTGTTTAATAACCTTTTGTTTCTTCCAAATGGATACTTCTTTGCCTCTTGGCGCTGCTAACACTGGCAATGCTTTTGCTGCATCTAGGAGCCAAGATAGACTTCATGATAACATTTTTAAAAGAAAATTAAACAGAGAGATAACACTATAACATCCAAGAGACATGTAATATGCCAGATTGCCTACTGCTGTCCAGGAGTCAAAGCATATACTGTTATACAGTAAACTTTTTAGATAGAAAGTAAAGTATAGTACATATATAAGCCACTAACATGAGAATTTATTGTGACTGGATATATGTATTAAGACAAATATATGTATTATTGGATATATATGTACTGTACTAGTATATGCTGGCAGCACAATTGCTTTGTATATGCAAAACATGAGCTGCACATGTTGCATGCAAGAAGCTGTTGTGTCTGCTACATCCCATTCTCTGATTGGGATTTCTGAACTCTATTATAACCTTATGGAGCCACGAACATATATGTGGTTGGAGGGACAGATGTTAGGCTGTGCATGACTATATTTGGGTTTGGAATTCACAGAGCAAAAATTCATACTGAAATTAACCTGTAACCCATTGTCATCTTGTTAATTCAGACTCATGTGACCCCATGTATTACAGTGTAGAACTGAGCTCCATAGGGTTTTCTTGTCTGTAATCTTTAAGGAAGCAGATCACCAGAACTTTCTTCCACTAGATGGGTTTGAACCACCAACCTTTAGGTTAGTAGGTGAGCGCAAACCATTTGTGCCCAGGAACCATAATGAATCTTTCCCACACCTTTAATACAGGGCAGGTGTAAAGGCCAGACGACTTCGTGTCTGCAACGAAGGCCATCACACTGCAGACCTAGGACAGACTCACCTGGCCAGAGAGCTGTGTGTCCCCAGGAGGTAGAGAGGCAGCAGGACCTTCTGGACTCCACGAAGCCCAAACACTCACACTTTCTTCCTACCTGGTTGGCTGACTGCAACTCACTTCATAGTTTCTTTCTCTCAGATTATGGAAAGAAGGGCTCTATTTCCTGTTCGGGGATCTCCACCGGCAGCAAGGCATGTAGAATAAACTGGGGGAGGGGCAAGCAAGACACCACCACCCCCAACTCCAACCTTCAGAGAATCCTTCTAGGGAATTAAAAAGGGAGGAGAGAGAAGGCCTGATTCACTTTGGTTGTGTGTTTGCCCTGCCCCAGGGCAGATGAAAAGCTGAGTGCTGCTACAACAGCTGTAGGCTATCTCTGTCAGCTCCTGTGGGGGGGGGGGGGGTGAAGGACAGTGTTGTCACCAGGCCCAGGAAGCTGGTTCTCTGGGCAGGCCCTTTCCCATCTGCTCCTGTTTAGTTTTCCAATACATTTGATTTGATTTGATCCTTGGCATCCACTAAGAGAGGTGAAGATTTACTTCCATTTTACAACTGAAGCAATTGAGGCTCAGAGAGCCAAGACACTTGTCCTGGTAAAGTGGTAAAGCTGGGAATTTAACTCACTAGATCATAAGGGAAGGGGTGCGCGTGTGCTTAAGTTCTTTAAAGTCTCCTGGTGATCCCCCTTTTCCACACCGTGGGACACGTCCCCACACTTTCTCTGGAAATAAAGGTTCTAGTAGCAAGAGTGACACAATCTTCCTCCTTAGGTGCCGTGGGACCCTCGAGGGTGCCCCTGGGTAGGTAAGGAAGGCAGAACTATCCCATAAGACGAGCGCCAGATAACTTCAGAGCGCTTCGCCCTTCCCCAGGAGAGGCAGACACAGACACGTCCGTCTTTTACCAACAAGTGCCTTCAAGCCCGGCGGGGGCAGACACCTCCGCGCCGGCCGCCGGCGAGGTCTCCGCTGTCTGCGGGGGCAATGGCCTCGCATCAGCTGCGCTGATTTAATGCTTATTGGGCCGCCTGAGCAGGAGGCGTCTTCCCCGGCAGCGCAGCATCGCCCGGAGTCTAGGACGACTCGGCGGCCCAGCACGAGGAGAGGGGGAGGGGAGGAAAGAAAGGAGGGGACGCCCCCCGGGGGGGGACTCAGGGGGCGGGCGTGCGGGCACACGCGGTGCGCGGCGAGCGGGGGCGGCCACCGCGCGGCACGGCCCGGGCGCCCGGGGAGCCGCCCGCTTTGCCGCGTCGGGCCCCGACGGCCGGAGCTTGGATGCGGCGGCTGAAGCAGGGAGGACGCGGGGCGGCCCGGGCCCGGGGAACGCGCCGGTAGCCGCGGGAGTGCAGCGGCCGCAGGATGGCTGAGGTAAGTGCGACGCCTCTCCTCGGACGCGGGGCCCCTCTCCGCGCAGAGAGGGTCGGCCTAGGGCTCCGTTCGGCCCCAGCTGCGGTCTGGACCTGGGGGGAGCACACAGAGCCACCTCCCTGAGGGCCACCTGCGCGGCAGCGCGGCCCCGAGGTTCGGGCGTGAAGGGGCGTTTTCTTAGGCTGCGAGTGACTGTGAAGCGCTGGGGGGCCAAGGACTCGTCGCTGCCCGACGTTCCAGACAAGTAAAAAGCGCGACCCTTGTTGCACCGCCGAGGGCGGGTTCACGGCGTGCCGGGAGCAGTCCCCACGCGTCCAAAGTGCCGCATCGTGGTGAGAATCTTTGGCAATTATCCTTCCGCTGCCCAAGCCGCCGCCAGCGGGTCTGCGTCTTCTCTGTCCGTTTCTGACCAGAGCCTTTTCAGCCTCTAAAATTAAGTCCAAGAATATTTGGACTTACCGTTTCGACCTGTGAAATATATTTCCCTCTCCCCATCTTTTTTTTTTTTTTTTTAATGTGTGTGATTTGGGTAAAAATTTACAGAGCAAATTCATTTTCCATATTTTTTTTTCTTTTTAACCTCAGAATTAAAATTAGTATTTTAAAATAACCGTTTTTCTACCCGGATTTTGTTTACTCTGGAGAATTAAGCGTGTGGTAAAACTTCAGTCACTATTGCGGAGAAAAGCAAGCGGCAGTGATGGGGCCTCCTTCCACGGTTGGACAAATCTTTTGTAACAAATGGAAAATCAAGATCAAGACATGTCTGATTACAAAGCTTCTAGGACATAAAAGTAATGTTCATGGTGTATGGCCAGATGGTATCAACGTTAAAGCCGACGTTGTAGTTCTTAGAAAAGTTAAGTGCAAGATGTTTTACCCCTTCGAAAAGAAAGCACTGTGACAATGGGGTTACGGCTTTTATTGTTTGGATATAAAAACCAGATATAATAGTCTTTGGCCACTTTTAGATGGTTTACCTGCAATTGACAGGAAGTGCGCTTGCACTGCTGAGCTGGTAAATGTGACTAGCGCTTCATTCATGTATTTGCCTGAGAAGTGCTAGAGCCTGGCAGCGCCCCCAATCCGCATTTTAGACTTCTCTGCGTCCGGGGAGCGCAGCGCCCGCCCCATCTCCGGAGCGCCTAGTCTATTCCAAGTTGTAACCCCGGAGGCAGCGGCTGGAGCCCGGTGCCGCTGGCATTGGAGGCCACTGCGGTCCCCCGCTGCCCCTCGGGCACTGCCGGCCAGTCCCCGAGCACCCTTGGCTGCCTGGCTTTGCATAAGCTCCGAAAGATTTGTCAGCCAGATGTGACAAGAGTGTCGAGAGGTGAGTGAAGGAGGAGATCTGATATTAATCAGTGCATAGCTCGGAGCCAAACTTTCTCAAATGCGGTGTAGGAACATGTTCTTCTCATTTAAGGCATCTCTTTGTGGCTGTGAGGCTGCCACCGGTCTGAGTTTGACAGTTAAATGGAATGCCAGCTAGCAGCTTTAATTGTGTGAGTAAAATTATGTGTGTGTGTGTTTGTATGGGGGGGGGGTATCAGACACTCTGGGGTTCGAAATGTCCCCTAGTTTTATGGCTGTGCTCTCACCGCAGCCCTCTGAAGACAGGGCATTTAAAATCAGGCCAGACGCCTGGTCGCAGCCAGGCCTCTGCTGTTAACACTTAAGGGGCCTGAAAGAGGCCTCACTGGTGTCCTGGGAATCCCTGTCAGAGGGTGGGTGCGAGTAGGGGAAAACATGTGTTACTGCAACTTTGGGACAATAGATCAGATCTAGCAAAAGAAAAAATTTAAATCTATTCCTTCCATCAAAGCAACAAGGTTTTGGCAAAACAGTAAGTTAAAAAAACAGCATCATCACTTTTTTTGTAGTGACATTTTATTCCTTGTTTGTTGTTTTAATATGCTTTTAGATTTTATGCGGTATTTCATAAGATTTCTTTTTTCCAATCTATAAATATTCTATTTGTTTATTTATTTATTTATTTTTGCAGTGTTCCCTCCCCTCCTACCCCTGGTAACCAACAAAGAAAGCGTCCTTCCATATATAAACCTTTCCTTGACTTTTTACAATAATGAATTAATACAATATTTGTCCTTCTGTAATTGACTTCTTTCACTCAGCATAATGCCCTCATAAGATTTCGTAGACTCTTCATTTGCAGATATTAGCTATGTGTTAAAACTTTTGTTCAGTGATAAATAAACCAGCTTATCAATTGCCTCTCCCCAAATATATTGATGTACAGAATTAAAACCTCATTAAATTTATATATGTCAAAATAAAATTTTTGTACATCATATTAAAGAACATTACTTCAAATATTACAAATTGTCCTAGATTTGCTGTAATGAATTTTGATAAATAACCTTATTCTTTTTGAAATAGTTTCAGATAAAAAGAAAAAGATTATAGATCATCATTCGATATCTTGTCTAATAAATTTGCTACCTTCAGTTTCACCCAGAAAATATTACTATTTCAACTCAACTTTTGTTGGTTGAGCATGTTCCTGCTATAGTTTCACCCAGAAAATATTACTATTTCAACTCAACTTTTGTTGGTTGAGCATGTTCCTGCTATAGTTAAATGCTGAGAAGAGGTGGTGAAATCTTCACTTAGCACTTGTGCTGCTCATACTTGGGGAACTCATAATTATGTTATCAGACATCTGCGTAATTTAATTCGGAATATCATCTGTACCCATGGAGGTCCTTCAGTCTACTAAGGATTTAGTGACATGCTCCTCCTTCAGTCAGAGAGAAAGTAGTTAAAATGGTTATTTGGTCGTTGATATCCCTTAGGATGTGAAACAACTATATTTTGCTCGGTTGCAATTCACATTAGAAATATTAACCAACATAGAATAATAGGTTGGAAGCAAACCGTTTGCATAATGGGTTTTTGTTTTCCCTTTTACATCTCCCCCAAATACTTTCCTGTAGCAGTTACACTTGCATCTGAGGCCCATGCCTACGTTCTGTACCTCAAGACCGGGATTATCACTTTGAAAAGGATAGTCCAACCCGATGAATGAGAAAAAGCCATAGAGTTTTCCCAGTGGAACAAATAATAATTGTCCCTTCATCACACTCTTGTCATTTACAAATACCTAGGAATAAATATAAACGGAATAATTTTTAAAAGTTTAGTTTGTCAGTAAAATTTTGCTTCAGTGTATGGGGGTGTAGGGCCTACTGTCTTTGGGCTTTTGTATATGGCTTTAGAAGTTATTTTGACAGTGGCCATTAAAAGAGTTGCCCTGGAGGTTCCACAAGGTAAATTACTTGCAGGAGGAGCTGTGCTTCCCCTGGAGTGAATTTTCTCCTTTACAGATGTCATTTAGAGTGAGTTACTTTTGTCAGAAACAGCCCTTTTAGAAAAGAATGAGAAATACCCTACCTTAAGGTAAAATCTTGGTACTGAGCCACCTGTCCTTTTGGTATCAGAATTTAGGGAGTCGATCATTTTATTTATCGTTGTTTATTACCTGAATTTCCATATTCTGAATCTACTACTGCAGATCTTTTATTATCTTTAGTTAGTTAGTTAGTTCTTTTATTTTTGATGACTTATGAGGAGGTGTTAAAGATAACAGTTCTTTGCAGAAGGAGCATCTGAAAAGGTTTTGTTTTTGTTTTTTAATCACTTTCCACCTGGAAATCTTACTTTCTCTTGTCATTCTTTGAAGTCCTTTTACCTAATTCTGGAAATTCCAAGATTTGGGTGTGGCCCCATTTCTCTGCCCAGACAGACATATGTTGATTTTAGCCAAAGAGGGTTCTGAATAGTAGATCTGCTTTACCCAAGTCCAATTTGGGACCTTTTCAAACTTCCAGTAGTTTATAGGCAAATGGGGTCTGCTCATAGATTCATTGTTACAAACCAGCCCCAGCCTAACATCACATGGAGGACTCTGCCTTGTGTGTGTCTGTGTGTGTGTGTGTTTGTGTATGTGTGTGTGTGAGAGAGACAGAGAGAGAGAGAGAGAGATTTTCACTTGGCTAATATGAGGCAAAAAAAAATAGAGAAATAAAATGTAAAGACCCAAGCAGCCCTGTGTGATGGGAAATGACTGTCTCAGATAAACTCCGATTCAGGCTTTCTAACTTAACTTTTCCTTCATACAGCTACATTATTTTGATCATCTTCTCTTGCACATTATATGTATGATCTTGACATGTAGTCAAACAAACGTCACAATTACTTTGCAGCTTTACGTTCTGTAGCCCTCTGATTGTTTATATTATTCATTATGAAGGTAATATTTTTATTCCATCAATTCTAACATTTCATTGATTACACCATGCTGAATTTTTAGACAGTGATCAGAATGATATAATAACTAAATCTAATCTTTTTAAAAAACTTAGTTTTGAAAGTCTAGTTCTCGGTGGTGAGTCCTAAAAGAAATGTTTACAAACTTTTAGTTAGAAATGTTCACAATTTTATCATTTATTATTTTGCATCAGCAGCAACAGCAAAGTTGCATTGCATGTGTATCTGACCACCTTGATTAGAATTATCTTAAGGTGTTAATATGTCTTGTTTTTGTTTCTTTTTCCCCCCCAAGAATGATTCAACTGTATTTCAAAGTTCTTTACACCTACAGCTAATAGTTAATGATTGTCTATTTTTTGTTACCAAAGGTTTCTGAAGATTACCTCTTAGATTTACTAAATTTAGGTTATAAAGGAAAATAATTCATCTATATCATTTATATTTCTCTACTGTTAGTTTAAAACAAAACGTTTGGTTTGGTTTCTAAGGTATTTTTTGCATGTTCTACTTTTAAAAAATATTTTCTATTTTTAGAATTAATTTTAAGAAAAAAGGCACAGATGTTAAATTATTTTGGCATAGAATTTATACTTTGATTTATAGAGATCAAAAGAACGAGTATTTTCCCGTCGCCCTCTTTGAACTAAACAGCAAGAGAACACTACAAGTGTGTCACGCATACTTTCTACTCACAGGTAGACTCACCCAACATCTGCCACCTGTAGGGAGTCCTGCCTCGCACCTGTCCTTTCTCTGCCAGACTCTTCTCCACATTCTCAGTGGTGTTTCGCCTCTCCTTTCATCCTCATATTTGTAGTGAGAAACTACATCTGTCAATTCTCTTTTAGTGTCATGTATATGTTACAAACCCTAACTACCCCTCTTTCAATTAGGCTCATGGTAAACAGTGTTGCCTATTGTTCAGAACCCTGGTGGTTCCATAAACCCAACAGAGAGACTCCTTGCCGCACTCTGAACAGTACTCCCCCCCATGCCCATGTTGCCTTTCAAGGTCAACTCTTACTATCTGTAACAAACCTCTGCTCTGTGGCCCAGCTTCCTGGGCCTGGCACACATGTACTGTGGTGAGCTTTTTTTGTGCCTAGGACTGGTGGCATTTCCTACACATCCTTATGAAAGTATGCCTGCTTTCTCCTGATAGAAACTTTTCTCCTCAGGCCTCTCTAAATGGCACTGCTTTCTCCCTCTATGTATGCCACCTCATGTAAACTAAAAATTTGGGGGAGAGGCAGTCTTGATTTATTTTTTCACCTTTTATTATGGAAATTACCACATCATCAAAATTAGAATAGTTTAATGAAGCTTGGTACTGTGTGCTTGGGAGTTTAACAGTTGCTAACTTTTGGGCTCTGGTAGCATAGACTTGACGGCACATAACAACAACAACAACTTTCGGGCAGTCCTGATTGATCTATATTCCTTATCCCATTCCTTTCATTCAATGCATCCTATATTTACCAATATAGGATTACTTAGAAGCAAATCCTAGGCATAATAATTTTATTAATAAGTATTTTAATATGTAATTCTAAAAGATAAAGACTTAATTTAAAACAAAAACAGTATACCATATGTTGTTGTTGTTGTTACGTGCCATTGAGTCAGACCCAACTCATAGCGACCCCTCCTTGGGTTTCCGAGGCAGTATCACTACGGAAGTAGATTGCCCCATCTTCCTTCCGAGGAGTGGCTGGTGGGTTTGAACCTCCAGCCTTTTGGTTAGCAGTCAAGTGCCTTAGGCACTACGTTACCAGAGCTCCTAGTATACCATATAGCACCTAAAATTTTTTACAAGTAACTCCTTAATGTCATTAAATTTCCAGTCAGTATTCAAATTGCCTTGATTATCTCATAAACTTTATTGAAATGTCATTGGTTAGTTCAAATCAGGATCCAAACACGGCCTATTCAGTACTGCTTTTAACCTATAGTTTTATTACTCTTCATTTTTTCCGTGCAATTATTTATTGAAAAACTTCATCATTTAGCCTGTAGAGTGCTCCCCAGTGAGATTTTGCTAATTGCATACTTGTGGTATCATTCACACATTCCTCTATCTCCTATATTTTCTGTAAACTAAAGTTGATGAAGATCCAGATTTGAACTTTTTAGCAAGAACACCCCATGTGAAGTGGTATGTATCCTTCCATCCAGAGG